TTCTGCAAGGCAGTTCCAAAAGCTGGAAGAGGAGTGCTTTGGAATTGATCCATTCCCCCACTCCTCTAATACTATTGTTGAAGTATAACAGTGGACATTTATTTTCTGTCTATTTTAATTTTATTTTTTTTAATAAAGTATACATGTAGGCTCAAGTATGCTAAGAAGCATGTTGAATTAAAGTAATTTTAATTATGACAGGGAGAAGACCACCCATTCTGTCTACTGCTTTATCTGCTTATTGAGTGATCTTTAACACTTATCTCTACATACAGGTTTTTGGTCCATGAGCAAAATGAGTAAAATGCAACAAGAACACATTGTACCGGTGTGAAAACCTAAGATAATCCTGTGTTCTCCATTTTCATAATCTCTGTAAATAATTGCCATAACAAATGTTTTCTTTTGCTGTTTCTTCCATCAGCCTTCTTCCAAGGGTATGAAAAAAAATGCACAGTATTTTAATACTGGTCTTTTGTGATTGTCTTAACTTTTTTTACTGCCAGGACAAATAATTAGAGCAGTGTTTCTTTCTCCCACTGGAAGTTTTAAGTACTGTCAGTGAAAGAATTATATTCTAATTTGGGAATCATTATAAGAATTAATATTCTTTAACATCATGAAGTTTGTGGTAATTTTTTACAACTTCATTATAATAGACCACTTGAACTACAGCAAAGCAATTTTAGTCCATTAAAGGAAAGTTCTTTGGCAATGAAACAAATGGTGAAAGAAGTTGTAAAAGTATTACCAACCTGTTAGCAAGAGTTAGATGAGTTAGAGAAACTCTGCATCTCTAAAACAATTGTGAAGTTCAAGTTACTCGCCATGTAAGGGTTGAATCAACTGTTACATCTTCTGTCTGTCCTTATTGAATGTAATGACAAAACATCAGCGGTGCTGTAAAGGCAGAAGGTCACAGCACTTCCTGAACAGTTATACCCTGTGCCCATTGGACTCAGAAGGAGTGATGACTTGGGCTTTGGTGACTACTTTTGTAAGTCCAGATGGCATCTTTTGAACACTTATGTCCAATTCTAATCTAATTCAAATTTGACAGTGATTGTTTTCATAGCAGTAATCAAAGTAAGTGTTTTACCCATGGAAATCTTTACATATTGAATTAAATCTTCATTTCTGAAAGTGCTGATTTGCATTTAAACCAGGTGAGGTTTATCTGTCTCCCCATCATTGGCATTCTGGATGAGTAATGTGTACATACATGCAACATCAAACTGCACAAGTGCAGATATGACTCTTCTAAACTCAGAGTTCAGTGTTTTCCTAATTACATACAGGCTATTGAGATTAAAGCAACAAGATCTCTTTTGTATTAAACAAGAAGCTCACATTCTTTACTCATGAGCTACTCTCCTCTTTCTCTGTTGATGGTCATGGGCAACATTCTCACAAACAGACATCCCAGGCCATCCCCCTCTGCAAGAAAGCCTTTGTAACTTGTGGTTGACCTAATTGTGCAGCGACAGCACTGCTGCTGTGAATCTGGGGAGATCCCTGGTACAGCGCTCATGTGGGCTTAGCAGTGTCTACAGCCTGAAACAGGACATAGGTAAGCAACAACACAAGGCTTTGAAGGATTCTCTCCAGCTTCATGTGGGGGTGAGATGTCCCACACAGATTTTAGAACAGTTTAGAGAACTTCTACACACTTTTCTATATCGCACCCCACCTGATGCCAGTGAATGCGGCCACTTTACTGAAAATTGTTATATATTTGAAAACTCAGTCTTCTGTAAAGAAATCTTTCAATACTATATTATCTCTGGAAGTTGTTATTTGTGTGTTCAGTCCTGAAGTTCTTGTTGAATACTCCTTCTTAACCTGGATATGTCTGCCCTGAGGTTCAGAGCCTGGATTTGTCTTAGTGTTATGACAGAAGAAAGAGAAGAAAATGTTGAGATATTTTTTTTATTGAACCAACGAAAAACCTCAGTAGTGCCATCCTTGTGGTCACACTTTGTTAGTGTGAGGTGGTTTTCTGCATCCCCTTAGATAAAAGAAATGCAAAGGTTGCAAGACAGAATCACATCTATTACTAAATGTTACCCTATTCGCCTTGTAGAATTAGAAAATTTTATAAAGTATTTTCTGTGTCCTGAAGACAAGACCCCTCAGTAATGTTGAGGTATGCTTTCTTCATGTCATGTGTCATTACCCAGTAATGTCCATCCCATCTTCAGTTTGCACCACTGAAGACTTAATCAAGCATGTAGGAGATAGAATAAGAATAGTTCTTACTTAATCCATCCACAAATGGCTCAGATTTGAAACAGGGGTGTTTTAGTGCTGATCTTAGCTGAAACAAGGTTGTTAACATGACACAGAACCATCACAGTTGTGTTTTATATGTGTGCTTTTACGTTCAGACAAGTAGTAGTGGCAATCAAAATGGTTTGTCTCAGCCAATAATTCTGTTCAGTGCCATGCGTTAACAGTGTTAAAAATTCATGAATCTTCTCTGTGAAGATAAAAAATCGGGAAGCACTTTGTCAAACTGATAGGCTTGAAGAGAGGGGAACATTTTAGTTTTGCTTTGGGAATTTAATCACTGAGTGGAAAGATGCCTATTTGTATTTCAGTGCTTCAGGATAAAACTGCTGTTGAATGAGGAGGTTCTTATTCTGGCCTGGGTGATTCAGCTGCCAAGATGCAGATGTAACAGGGATCAGTTCACCCATGGACTCTGATAATAAGTGATTGTTTTCATTTTTTTGGCAACGTGTGGGGACAGTGGGCTGGGAGTGGAGATCCTGCTGCAGAGCAGGGAGAGACTTGAGTGTTGTTGTTACTGCAGTAGGGAAGTGGGCTCTATGACCAAAAGGATCTAAATCCCTGAGCAGAAAGATGCAGGAAATAGTAGCAGGCAGGCAAGAAGAGGATGAGGAAATTCCAGGGACACAGAGAGGAAAAGTCTGTACCCCTCATGTCAGGATCTGAGAGTAGGTATTTAGCTATAAATTGCTGTGCCAGCTATAGGGTGGAGGTCATTTATGGCATCCATGTGACAATAAATTTGTCATGTATTATGGAGAGGTCTCTTTGCATCAAGGTATATATACTGCATTGTGCATTACTTCGAAATCTTCCCGTGTGCTTTCACTCTTCAACTTCTACTCTATAAATTGATTTGTTATCCTTCTTTGTCCTGGTTTTAACATATTGTAACTTTTACTAATGTTTGTTACTGGGCTTTTTTTGTTTATCTAAAAGCCAAAAAGCCATATACTGTTTGTTCACTATTAGTTTTTGTGGGGTTTTATTATTTGATGTTCAGTGTCAAACTATTCACATTTATCCTTCATGTTGGTATTTTCCTAACTGTAGTTCTATGACAGGCATACTCAAATCCATTCAGTGGCACATACTTTGTTCCTTTAATTACCATTTTAAAATGGAACAATGTCTGAGACTATATTCAGAACCTAGAACTAATGTTACGGAAAATAAGGTCAAAGAAATCAAATAACATTGTTTCTAAAGTTGCAATAGAGTTTTTGGATCATCTTCCATCATTAATATCAGCACTTGACAGCACTTAAAAGTTTAATCATGATTTGTAACCCCCTGAATTTTATTGCTTCTACTGTCGGAAATCAATTTCAGTATTTAATGGCATCTTGTAACCTCAGTCAAGGAGAATGTTGGCTTGATTTTTATTCTAGTTTTACTCGAAGCTTCACTGCTAAGCTATACCCTGACAAAACTATTTCTGTGACATTCTTTGGCACAGTTGTTTTCAGTTCTCAGACTTAAAGAAAATGCTTTTGTGTATACAACATAATTCAGAAATATTTCCCTCTGTTGATCATTTTTGAGCTATAGCTTCATGTATTCTTCAAAAGTTTTTGATTCTGAGCCTAAAATACAGCAAAGTGTATGTTTAATTTTAGTCACTCTTGCAGACCTGTGACTTCTCATGTAATTAACATCCACCACAAGTGTCCGGAAGATCAGACCATAAACTGTTGTTTAATCTTCCTTTTGCTTACTGAGGTTCAAGAAGAGAATGGAGCACACATAATTCCAAATTAAACATTTAGATTAGTCTTTATTGATTCCTTTTGATCAGGAGAAGTGTGTTTGGGCTTGATTCTGTGTTTCGTCATTCAGTAATTTCAGTTGTTGAAATTATTGACCTGGTTGGGAGCTCTCCTTTAGTGGCATAATTGCAGGCTGAAATTGAGTACATTTCTTAAGAGAAAATTGTGGTTTTTGCCAAAAAACACAAAAAAGGGGTAGCTTATAGGAAGCGAAATAAAACAGGGTACAATAAATTATACTGTGTCTAATCTCCTCTCAAAATTTGAAGCTTTTAGTAGAATTAAACATGCAAAGGATGTATCCCTTGATCTCCTTTATAAATAACTAAACATTGAAAAAGTTTCTATTTTATGTATGGTACTGTCTACTTTTCTGTAAACATATTAGGAGATTCTGTATGCTTTGAAAAAAAGAAAAATTGAAGGCTGATAAAATCAGTGACACCCACTGGGCCAGCAGTAGATCTAGTTTCCCAATTAAGTGTCCTGACTGGGAAATTCTGTCCATTTTTACCTATACATAGATTTCTTATTGGAAATGTCATCTGTTTGGCATAGAATAGAAGAGAAATAATGAGATTATGTTGCCATAAGGAGCAACAGGAGTGATTTCCTAAATCACGTCATTTAAACTTCAGTCTAATTCCTTAGGAAACTACCTCTGGAAAATTGTTTCTTCAGAGAATTAAGGAAACTGATTTGCTATGGAATTTGTAAGACCCAAACCCCACAGGACCAGCATAGCAAACCACATCTCTAAAAGCAAAGAACATAATTTTTGTCACTTTTCAAATAATCTTTATCTTATATACAAATACTAAGCACCCTCCCTCACATTTCTAATGCATTTCATGTGGGTTTTTCCAGTTACAAAGGGACAGCTCTCTGATTTATGTACTGATGGCTTCCAGCTAACTTTCCTTGTTATATTTCATTTAGAGAGCCTGCTGTCTACACATGATAATGTTTATGTAGTGGATGACACAGTTCTGGAGCTATCGGAGGTGGAAGAAACAGCATCAGAAAGCAGCTGTTTTGCATCAGAGGACACCACAGAGGACTCGGGTGTTGTGAGCTCCCCATCAGATATTGTATCTCTGGATTCACAAAATGACAGTATGAAGTTGAGAGACATCAAGCTGGTCAATGGCTACATGGACCCAGCTGAGGCAGATGCAATGTGTGACACAGACACGTGCCCTGTGCAGAACGCCTACTGTGACAGCGTGGGACCTGACACTGCTCATCTGAGGTAAATATTTACTTGCCACCAGCACTTGTCCTCCTGGTAGGGACTCATTTAAGAAAACCAACTTATACTTTCTTCTGCTCTTTCATAAACCAGTTCCAGTGCCAAGTGACTCCTCCCAGTGAAAAGCTCACTGCCAAGTCCCCTTGAGCGACATACTTGTAGCAACAGGCAAAGGTCAATTTTTTGTTTGAACTTGTAGTTACATTTCTTGCAAAAGACTGCTGCCCTCCAGAGTTGATTTATTCAAGGAGTCTGAAATAATTCTGTTGAAGTTTGGGTTATTTTGTACTTCTGATAGCACCTAAAGTTTTTAAAAAAGTATTACCATATATTAATCCAGAAAAATTACATGCAGGTCATATAGTGGAAAATTCAAGCCACCAAAAGCCAGGTGGAAAAGGACTGTATGCAGTGACTTTGGATATTGGTTTGTAAAAGTTTGCATACATATTTATTTATTTATTTATTTGTTTGTGTATATATATATATTTATATATATATTTGTTCACTTAATGCTAACCTCCACTGGTGTTGCACTTTGGGGTCAGGTTTTGTTCAGCATATTTCCTTTTTCTTCCTTTTTTTTTTAATGATATAAATTTTTCTGCAGTTTTTGCAAGAAAATAAGAGAACCTAAAGTTTAACTAGAAACTGCCTTCAAGCACAAATGACTGACACTGTTTGTTTGCCAAAACTCACATAGTTAGTGACAGGGCTGCAAAGGGAACCCAAAATTTATAGGACTTCTGCAAATACAAACTGGGTAAATAGGAAGCTGTGCCTCCAGCAAGGAGGGTGGCCTGGTAATACTGTAGGGGATTCACTCTGTGTGATGCTGCAGAGTCATGGGACAAGGGCCAGAAATTCCTCTGAATTCTCAGTTGACACCAAGTCTGTGCTTTTCTGGTCACTCTCCATTCAGCTGCTAATCTGTACCCTCTTCATAAAAGCATGTATCATGACCTAGTTATTTCCATCCACACATTTCTGAGTGAGAACTTCACCTTGGATCTTACAGTGATAACTTAGGGAGAAATTAGACCAAAGTCAGTATTTAACGTACTGGAATGATCTTGGGGTTTTTCTTTATCCATCAGTATCAATGGGGACAAAGTAAAGCCTCACTTAGATTCTTGCTTAACAATACATTTTTCTTGTGATTTTCTTTTTTCCTTTTGCAGTGTCTTAAGTCCTGATGCCGTTTCTATTGGAAGAATTAGATAGGCTGGTTTAATAACTACAATTAACATTCCAGACCTGATCCAAAAAAGCAACCCATTAATTTCATTAGGTTTAGGTTGGTACTTTTGAGGTAAATAGGCTATCCCAACCTTCTTCAAAATGCAGGATATAAAGTGGTTTGAAAAACACACACACATGTTCAGTGGGGGAGGAAGAAGTTAGCATTTTGTTGGCCAAAGACATCAAAGCAAAGCCCTGTAATAACAATACTAATCAGTTTCAGTTTGGGGGGAACTTCTTCTGGTTTTTTAATCAAATGAAAGATTAACCACAGGTCATTGTGACACACTCCCTCTTGAAAGTCAGTATTCCTTCCATCTTTCACCTCAACCAAAGATACATATTTTGTCCATGACATTTAGATTTACCTTTAGCCCACAAACCCACATAATTTTTACTGTTTGGAAAGACTGCACAGAGGAGAAACAGTGGGATGTTTCATAAGCTGTCCAGCAGAACATGAGTCCAGGGGTCTTTCTGAGCCAAAGGAGTGGAAGCTGGAAGGATAGTGTGATGTACTGCCACTGCAGTCAGGAAGGTGCTGTGCTGCAGTATCCTGTCTTGGGCCCCCAGTTCAAGAGAGAGACTGGAATGTTGGAGAGAATCCAATGGAGAGCCACTGAGGGGCTGTGGCACTGGAGCACACGAGGTATGAGGGAAATGGTTGCTCATATTGGGAAAGTGATGTTGGTAAGGAGGCACCTGGTCACAGTTTTTCCCTAACAAAAGGAGGATTATGAGGCTTCTCAGGCATACACAAAGGGGCAAAAAGGACACATGAAAGGACAAGAAGCAACTGTCACCAGCTGCTCTAAAGGAAGCAAAAATTAAATATGAGGGAATTCCTCAAAGTAGGAATCACTGAGCAGTGGAAGAGGTTCCCTAGAGAAGTTGAGGAATCTCCATGTCTGGAGACTCTCAGAACTCAGCCAGGCAAAGCCTTGGGCAGCCTGTTCTGGCTTTGAAATTAGCCCTGCTTGGAGCAGGAGATTGGGTTAGGCTTCCAACTTGCTTTTTTTCCTGTGATTTTATAATGCTAAATATTCTCTATTATTCTAATATATCTGTAATTTAAAAACAGTGTGGTATGAGACTAAAATAGGAGACAGTTGTTTAGGGAATGCAGTTATTTTTCATAAATACCATTTACTTTTTAGGTTCTGGGACAGCAAAATTGCTCCAGATCATCTTAGGGATATAGCAAATCTTAACATTTGTGATGTATTTTAATCTTATGTCAGCAACCATTTAGACTGACATAACAGTGATGCTGAGAGTAATATCTTTTAAAACGTTATGCTGTGAATGTGCCAGTAATATTTGAAGGTAAATCCAATTCCACTCATAACCTGTCTTTGTAAACTAAACAGCTTTGAAAATTGTGCTCTAAATCCTTTTGGGGTTAAGCTGCTAAGTTTTTAAAAGCCACTTCCTAAGTGTAGAGGAAAGAGAAAAAAAGTAGTTTTTTTAAACTATTTGCATGAAATTCTTGTTTTAATCAGATATAAATCAGTTATTAGTACAATTTTGAGTACAGTCAAATTTGGAGAATATTAATTTCCGTTTTCAATGTTAGAACAACTGCCATCCCACTAGTAAGATGTTCTGAGTAAGAACACAGAAATTCTACATTGCTCTTTGATGAATAGGCTATTTTCAGGACCAAACCAGCCGCTTAAATCCCCAGACAAGTCAAAATGAACTTCATATGAACCAAACTATACAGAGTTTTAAGTACATTTCATAAGCTACAAAATATAAAGGAAAATTTTACAGAGTTTACTTATTCCTTTCTATCTTCTACTTTGTACACTAGTGATCTAAACTCAATTTTAAAGGGAAGATAAGAACAAAGAAATTGGAAGAACGTGTTGCTACTGTAAAGTAGTAGGGGTTAGCAGCAGTGGGACTGAGTTCTGCTTGAGTCTGAGCTCTACTGAAGCCAGAAATTTTATTTAGTGACTAATTTGGCTAAGGCTTGGGAAAAAAGGTTAACAAGAATAGTGGAAATATTTAGTTTGTCTTTTTAAATTTTAAAGCTGACTAAAAATTGGGCTTTTCACCCACAGAAATAACAAATTCCTAAGAATTAATAGTGCTATGTACTAAAATAATTTTGTACTCTGTGGATTGTGAAAAGTACCCTTAAAGTGGAAGTAAATTATATTTGGAGTGTGAAGGACTAAAAAAAGTCCAGGTAGTATTTTGCCTATCCATTATGAAGAGCTGCAATGAAGAGCAGAACCAAATCCACAGTTCTTACCTAGGTTTGCTCCAAATAGTTAACCTGTGCTCCAGATCAAGAATATTTTGCCATGTTGCTTCCTTTAATTAGCTGTATGTTTTGTTTTAAATTAATTTTTCTTAGGGTTTCTGGAGTTGTTTACTAGATGGTCTCTGTGTGGCTATAATGCCTGATAGCATTAGAATAACACAGCAGGGTCTTCATCTGCAAGGAAACTTATGAGCATTTAGGGGAACCATCTCTGACATGGGATACATTTGTCAGCACATAGCAGGGTAAGATTGTGGCCAGGTCAGAAATTGCACCAACCATGGGCTTTGCACAAACAAATATGACAGTACAGCAGAGCTCCAATCTACTTCAGTTCCAAGAGCACAGAAACAGAAATTTCTAAAAGAAGGCACATGGGTTCCAGGGTTTCCAAGCTGAGGTCTTTATGATTTTAATTTTCTGTTCATGGTAGCAACTTGCAAATGCACTCTTTTTTGTTTGGTTTGGGGGCTCTTGTTCAAGCAATCATAATCTAAATACACATACTAATTAGCAATTGGAATATCAAAACAAATGTCAAAACACTAGTTCTACTCTTCACTCGGCTTCTAACTTGTTAAACCATTTTGGTCTCTCTGCCTGGGAGATCCCCTTCAGACACTGTTTTTTTATGGTAAAAACCATAACACAGCTATCATATCTCATGATACATTTGTACAGTGCCTGGTGGAGCAGAATCCAGACCTCAGCTGCAGTTGCCAAGGGCTAAACCCATATAAATAATTGACTACATGCAATGTTTGTCTGTGAATGTTTTAATATTAACTGCTGAGTCTGAACATTGTACTACATAGTTCTCTTTATTCATATCCTTTCTTACGGTTGATGTCTTTGTGTTATGTATCTGTTCACCAAATTTTAATATATAGTGTTAAATGAGTAACAAGAAAACCACAGAGAAGCTGAAATGTTGCTTATGTAGCAGTAAGTACATCTCATGATCTCACAGTGTTGCAACCCTGTCCTCCCATACCCCCTCTTTTCCCATCCCTTGTGTGGTGTCATCACGCAAGCTCCTAGGGGCAGGGAACAGGCAATTTTATACGCCTATAAAGCATCATGCACACCTACTGTCTGGAGCTTTATAAATAATTATACATTAAAAATTATGTTAAAATAATATTATTAGGGATGCTAGGTCATGCGCTCAAAGTTAGGTAATTTCGATATTAAGACTCTGTATGTAATCTTAGATTCTGCCTTTTTAAAGTCAATTCCCCCCCTTTTGTATAGCATGATAACATCTCTGGTTACAGTGATGGGACTTGATTTTATTATCTTTCTAAGTTTCAGTACTCAATTAATAAAGCAATTAATAAAATTTATAATTAATTAATAAAACAGATATACCACTGTTTACTCAGTTCAAATTCTCTTCTGGAAACAGGACTACTCAATTTCCTTTGGCTCTTTTTATCTTACTCATTGTGCTGGTATTCACATGCTATGCAGACTTTAATTC